GAAAATGCGTTTTAAGCTGATTTGTAGGAAAGTCGGTTTTATCTACATTTTTATGAATAATCAGTTTATGAAAAACTATGTTTGGCAGGAAAGTAGATAGCCCCGTGACTCGTTAATCTTTGCTCGCCACTTTCCCCAAATTGGCCGCCATTGCTTATCCATTGAAGTACGTATATGCAGCTGCTCCCCTCGAGTTCCTCCTCGGCCCTCTCTGCTTCCTCCTCCTTCCTTTGCTCGCTGACATCGCTGCTCCATCTCTCTCGGCCCTAGATGAATCGGGGCCTAGACGCCGATTGCTGCTCCTCTCTCCTCCATTGAAGGCTTCACCAAGGGGACGCCGCTAAAGTGCGGACGACGGCAACGACTTCCACTCAACGGCTCGCCGTGCGCAGCTGCCGCTTCCTCTAGAGACTCAGGAGTTCGCGCTCGGCGGCAACCACTTGCTCTACACAACACGGTACATGCGAACGGCGGCAGCGGCCGCTTCCCCTCGACGACTCAGGCGTTCGCGCACGGCGGCGGCCGCTTTTACTCGATGCCTCGGCGTGCGTGCATGGCGGCGGCCGCTTCCCTTCAACGAGTTGCCGCGCGTGAACGACGGTGGCCGCTCCCGCTCGACCAGGCCGACGGTAGAGCGCTTGTGCTCAAAGTCAATCGGCGTGCATGCCGGCTGGTGGCTTTGAATGAGTTTCAGGTGCGGTAAGGCACAAACCGTGCTGATGAATTTGATGCGGAAGGAGAAATCAGTTGCCGTGAGTTTCTACAATCGTGTTTTTACATAAACAACTATTAGTCGTTTTTCAGAAAATGCATATTACTGGTTTTGTGGAAACTGAATCCTACTTGTCCATGTTTTTCGTGCGGAATCCAAACAAGGTTGCATGAATGCCTCTAAGTGGTTGTTTGGATAGAGGAGATTAGCGATGGGATTGTAGAAAATGCGTTTTAAGCTGATTTCTAGGAAAGTCGGTTTTATCTACGTTTTTATGAATAATCAGTTTATGAAAAACTATGTTTGGCAGGAAAGTAGATAGCCCCGTGACTCGTTAATCTTTGCTCGCCACTTTCCCCAAATTGGCCGCCATTGCTTATCCATTGAAGTACGTATATGCAGCTGGTCTCCTCGAGTTCCTCCTCGGCCCTCTCTGCTTCCTCCTCCTTCCTTTGCTCGCTGACATCACTGCTCCATCCCTCTCGGCCCTAGATGAATCAGGGCCTAGACGCTGATTGCTGCTCCTCTCTCCTCCATTGAAGGCTTCACCAAGGGGACGCCGCTGAAGTGCGGACGACGGCAACGACTTCCACTCAACGGCTCGCTGTGCGCAGCCGCCGCTTCCCCTAGAGACTCAGGAGTTCGCGCTCGGCGGCGACCACTTGCTCTACACAACACGGCACATGCGAACGGCGGCAGCGGCCGCTTCCCCTCGACGACTCAGGCGTTCGCGCACGGCGGCGGCCGCTTTTACTCGACGCCTCGGCGTGCGTGCACGACGACGGCCGCTTCCCTTCAACGAGTTGCCGCGCGTGAACGACGGCGGCCGCTCCCGCTCGACCAGGCCGACGGTAGAGCGCTTGTGCTCAAAGTCAATCGGCATGCATGCCGACTGGTGGCTTTGAATGAGTTTCAGGTGCCATTGCTGCTCCTCTCTCCTCCATTGAAGGCTTCACCAAGGGGACGCCGCTGAAGTGCGGACGACGACAACGACTTCCACTCAACGGCTCGCCGTGCGCAGCCGCCGCTTCCCCTAGAGATTCAGGAGTTCGCGCTCGGCGGCGACCACTTGCTCTACACAACACGGGCACATGCGAACGGCGGCAGCGGCCGCTTCCCCTCGACGACTGAGGCGTTCGCGCACGGCGGCGGCCGCTTTTACTCGACGCCTCGGCGTGCGTGCACGACGGCGGCCGCTTCCCTTCAACGAGTTGCCGCGCGTGAACGACGGCGGCCGCTCCCGCTCGATCAGGCCGACGGTAGAGCGCTTGTGGTCAAAGTCAATAGGCGTGCATGCCGACTGGTGGGTTTGAATGAGTTTTAGGTGCGGTAAGGCACAAACCGTACTGATGAATTTGATGCGGAATGAGAAATCAGTTGCCGTGAGTTTCTACAATCGTATTTTCACAGAAACAACTATTAGTCGTTTTTCAGAAAACGCATATTACTGGTTTTGTGGAAACTGAATCCTACTTATCCATGTTTTTCGTGCGGAATCCAAACAAGGTTTAAGTTTGTTACACGGTTATGTGAGTCGACGGAAAATCAGTTCTGCTAATACACCGTATCCAAACGAGGCCTAAACGGCGTTAAAGGCCCCGGATAGGGAATGGGCTTCATATTCGATGATATACATCATACACACGCTATATACACGAATGTTTTTGCCAAAATAATCGGTTTTCATCTGAATACTCATGAGTTATGCTGGGCCCGCCCCTGCATATCATATAAGTTACTACATAAACTGCCGTGTTTTATCAAAAACAATTCAACATTGCTCGACCACAATTCAATTGAAATACATCTTTTTCTACAATGTTTGAAAGATTTAAGCACCACCGGTCGATGTTTTCCGAACTTACTACGTATTTCTTTTTGTGTACGTATACATATATACCCCAATTACGACTTATTCCATTGTAGCATTAATGGGTGCTTACATGTCCATAAGGGCGAACGATTTACGAGGCAAAGGTGACAACAGGCCCGGCGACGTTGTTGCCGCGGAACTTGGAGACGGCGCAATCCGTGGAGAAAAGACTTGACGATAGGTACTTTGGCGCGCCGCCCATGATGGGCATCTTGGCGCTGATGTCCACCTTGCTGACATACTCCGGCTGGTAGGTCTGGCCGAGCAGGCCGTCAACGTTCTTGGTGAGGGAATGGAACTTGAAGCCGAGGTCGAGGTGCACGAGGCTGTCGCTCCCGGTCTTGCCGTAGTTGTGGATCCGGGAGTCCTCCTCGGTGATCGGCACCGCGTTGACCGAGATGCCGAACACGCCGTCGAGCTCCACCATGACAGCGTTCACCGTGTCGATGCGCGTGACGGACAAGGCGGGCAGGGCCTTGGAGACCCACCGGGTGTTCTTGACGGTCTCCACGTCGACGGCCTCGCCGTCCAGCATGACGTGGATGTGGTCCTCCTCCTCGTCCCAGACGTCGGCCTTGCGAGCGCCGACGTAGAGGCGGTGCTGGCCGAAGCTGACGCCGATGGCCTGGATCCACGTGAAGTTGCGCCTTATGGCAGGGTTGTGGTTGCCGATGAAGTGGGCGTTGATGTGGAGGGCCTCGTCGGAGACGATGCAGAAGTCCTGGTCCTTCTTGCCGTGGAAGTAGAAGGTGTTGCCGTCCCCGCCGGTGAAGCGAGGGTCTCCGCACGAGCTACCCGGGACGAGATCACACACTAATTGTACATGCAACGCGTTAGCATCTAAACTGACGGGATGGATCTCATCCTCAAGATCAACTAGCTAATGCTAATACTCCCGACGATGTAGATATATCCGTTTGAGCGACAAGTAATATGCATCGGGGTGAATAACAGAGTTGAGCAGGCCGGCGTGGAACAACTTACCGCAGAATGCCATGCAGTATTTGCAGTAGGCGAGGCACTTGTTGGGGCATCGGCTTGGGCAGGACACGACGCAGGGCTTTCCTCGCCTCTCGTGGCAGGTGACCGCGTACAGGCGCTTGGTGCTGTTTTTGGGGATGGTGATGGTCTGGAACGTCGCCTTGGGCGGGAGCTTGATGGGCTGACCAGTCTGCGACGTTTGCGCCGAGGCCACGCTGCACGCCAGCGCGAGCGCCACCAGGAGGCAGCATCCTGCCACCAGCAGCTGACCCATGCCGCCGCGCCGCGCCATTGCCACGGCGATGGAGCTGGTGAAGAGCTACCTTCTTCGATCAAGTGTGTGTTTGTAGCCGGCCTTCGATGGTTGTGGTGTGCGTTTGTGTGGCGCCTAGCGGGGGATTCTTATGGGAGATGGAAGTGGCGTGGTAACTTTAGCCGGGGAGCTTAATTGGAGGCGAAGTGGCTTACTTGCGAAGTGGCGTAGGGGGGGACAAAGTGACGCTGTGACCATACATGCTTGCTGTTGCTGAAATTAAGCAAGGGTCGTCGGCTCGACTTGGGGTTACACAAGCTACCTGCTCGGATCCAGCTTTGGCGCGCATGCACGGCATGATGGCAGCTCCGTTGCTTCGTGTGCTTTGACCAGCGCAAAGTCTACATTCCGGAAGTGTATCAAGAACGTGATAGCTGAGCTACACTGCTGCTTTCTCCGGAAAGATTTGGACCAAAGTTACACATCCACCCAAGGATCCAGCTAGCATGCATGGTGGTCGGTCAGCTCAACCGGAAATCTAGATATCACCGGCACCAGATTATCACTTCCGTCACCGGAAGTCCCACCCGGCGAAGGAACTCGATCGGCCGCCCGCATGCATCAATGGCCAAGGTCAACTATAACATTCCTCCATCAGAACACAAGACTTACGCGACTCAACATGTAATTGAGTACATGGTTAGGAAGACTCTGATATCCACAGTCCACCAGAGTTCAAATTCTAATTTAAAGGAGCGCTTGAAGACATTGCGCCACCAAAGGGATCCAGAGGAGCGAGCAGTCGAGCGTCACGATTCAGGCACTCCGTCGAGCATGTGGTTAGCGTCGGAGCAGCAAGGCTGCTGGTGTTGATGGCGACGACTCCGTGGTCTGCACCACGCACCACAGGGGAAGCGAGCTTGGGGGAGACGCCGGTGAGGGTCCCCTCAGGCATTAGGCCCTGAACTCCATGGCCGACATAGCCGTCAAGCTCCTCAACAGCCCTAGCCGCATTCTTCACAATTTCCTCCTCCTTTATCCGAGCAAGGGACACTGCTTTGGTGATGCTGGACGGCGATTGTGACTGCACGGCTGCTTGAATATCCGCGCGCAAGCCCTCGACGTACTGGTGTACGAAGCACTTGATGCTTATGGTGGAGTTGAGACCCAGCACACGATGTACTCATTCCCAGAAAGCCGTCGTGTACTCAGCCGTGGTTGCAGTCTGCTTGAGCTCCAGCAGCGGGCACAAGTGCACGTTATACTCCAACGACACATCCTGGATGTCGAGGAGGCAGTCGTGCTCATAGACACACCAGCCATGCAAGGCGAGAGCTCGCGCCGCCCCGACTCTTGATCGAAGCTGAACCACTTCCTCCACATGATGGATTATCTGGAACACGAAGACCTTCACCACACCATACCTGGCAAACACCTATTGTAGGGTCTCCTCAGTGACCGAGTAGTACACATGGTGTACCGTGTACGGTGACGTGGAGAACGCCACCAGTGAACACCTCTGGTTGGCTGGACATTTCGTCGAACATATGGTAGGCAGGAAGTGGGTGGTGATTTTTTGCCGGCTCTGAATACCATATTGTCACGACCCAAACATTGGATAAGGGACGGACACTCAGATCAGTACCAATATCGAGTACAAATTAAGGGATACAAAGGGGAATTTGGGGTGAGGATCAGCAGTAGAGGGATGAGATACAAGTAGCAGAAGGGTGAGGAACGGGAGCAGGAGGATGAGAAGGTTCAGACTTTTCAATCAGTTCGATGCCCTCCTCATGTGCTCTCCCGACTGCATATGTAGCTTGCTACCTCTTGAGCACTGCGTTGGATTTCCCCGAAGAGGAAGGGATGATGCAGCAAAGTAGCGTAAGTATTTCCCTCAGTTTTGGAGAACCCAGGTATCAATCCAATAGGAGGCTACGCTCGAGTCCCTCGTACCTACACAAAAACAATAGCTCAACGCAACCAATGCGCTTAGGGGTTGTCAATCCCTTCACGGTCACTTACGAAAGTGAGATCTGATAGAGATAATAAATAATATTTTTTTGGTATTTTTGGTATAGAGATGCAAAGTAAATAAAGTAAAAGCAAAGCAATAGTAAAGTGATGGAGATTGATATGATGAGAAAGAGACCCGGGGGCCATAGGTTTCACTAGTGGCTTCTCTCAAGAGCATAAGTATTCTACGGTGGGTGAACAAATTATTGTTGAGCAATTGACAGAATTGAGCATAGTTATGAGAATATCTAGGTATGATCGTGTATATAGGCATCACGTCCGAGACAAGTAGACCGAAATGATTCTGCATCTACTACTATTACTCCACTCATCGACTGCTATCCAGTATGCATCTAGAGTATTAAGTTAAAAACAGAGTAACGCCTTAAGCAAGATGACATGATGTAGAGGGATAGTTTCATGCAATATGATAAAAACCCATCTTGTTATCCTCGATGGCAACAATACAATACGTGCCTTGCTGCCCCATTTGTCACTGGGAAAGGACACCGCAAGATTGAACCCAAAGCTAAGCACTTCTCCCATGGCAAGAACAACCAATCTAGTAGGCCAAACCAAACTAATAATTTGAAGAGACTTGCAAAGATAACCAATCATACATAAAAGAATTCAGAGAAGATTCAAATATTATTCATAGATACACTTGATCATAAACCCACAATTCATCGGTCTCAACAAATACACCGCAAAAAGAAGATTACATCGAATAGATCTCCACGAGAGAGGGGGAGGACATTGTATTGAGATCCAAAAAGAGAGAAGAAGCCATCTAGCTACTAGCTATGGACCCGCAGGTCTGAAGTAAACTACTCACACTTCATCGGAGGGGCTTGGATGATGATGTAGAAGCCCTCCGTGATCGATGCCTCCTCCGGCGGAGCTCCGGAACAGGCCCTAAGATGGGATCTCATGGATACAAAAAGTTGCGACGGTGGAATTAGGTTTTTGGCTCCGTCCCCGATCGTTTGGAGGTACGTGGATATATATAGGAGGAAGAAGTACGTCGGTGGAGCTTCAAGGGGCCCATGAGGCAAGGGGGCGCGCCCTAGGAGGGGGCGTCCCCTACACTCGTGAGCACCTCATAGCTTTCTTGACGGAGGGTCCAAGTCTCTTGGATCTTATCTGATGAGAAAATCACGTTTCTGAAGGTTTCATTCCGTTTGGACTCTGTTTGATATTCCTTTTCTTCGAAACCCTAAAACAGGCAAAAAACAACAATTCTGGGCTGGGCCTCCGGTTAATAGGTTAGTCCCAAAAATAATATAAAAGTGGAAAATAAAGCCCAATAATGTCTAAAACAGTAGATAATATAGCATGGAGCAATCAAAAATTATAGATACGTTGGAGATGTATCAAGCATCCCCAAGCTTAATTCCTGCTCGTCCACGAGTAGGTAAATGATAAAAACAGAATTTTTGATGCGGAGTGCTACTTGGCATAATTTCAATGTAAATCTTCTTAATTGTGGTATGAATATTCAGATTCGAAAGATTCAAGACAAAAGTTCATATTGATATAAAAATAATAATACTTCAAGCATACTAACAAAGCAATTATGTCTTCTCAAAATATCATGGCCAAAGAAAGCTATCCCTACAAAATCATATAGTCTGGCTATGCTCTATCTTCACCACACAAATTATTTAAATCATGCACAACCCCGATGACAAGCCAAGCAATTGTTTCATACTTTTGACATTTTCAAAACTTTTTCGATCTTCACGCAATACATGAGCGTGAGCCATGGATATAGCACTATAGGTGGAATAGAATGATGGTTGTGGAGAAGACAAAAAGGGAGAAGATAGTCTCACATCAACCAGACGTATCAACGGGCTATGGAGATGCCCATCAATGGATATCAATGTGAGTGAGTAGGGATTGCCATGCAACGGATGCACTAGAGCTATAAGTATATGAAAGCTCAAAAGAAACTAAGTGGGTGTGCATCCAACTCGCTTGCTCACGAAGACCTAGGGCATTTTGAGGAATCCCATCATTGGAATATACAAGCCAAGTTCTATAATGAAAAATTCCCAATAGTATATGAAAGTGACATAATGAGAGACTCTCTATCATGAAGATCATGGTGCTACTTTGAAGCACAAGTGTGGTAAAAGGATAGTAACATTGTCCCTTCTCTCTTTTTCTCTCATTTTTTTATTTGGGCCTTTCTCCTTTTTTATGGCCTCTTCTCTTTTTTTTCGTCCGGAGTCTCATCCCAACTTGTGGGGGAATTATAGTCTCCATCATCCGTTCATCACCGGGACAACGCTCTAATAATGATGATCATCACACTTTATTTACTTACAACTCATGAATTACAACTCGATTCTTAGAACAATATATGACTCTATATGAATGCCTCCGGCGGTGTACCGGGATGTGCAATGAATCAAGAGTGACATGTATGAAAGAATTATGAACGGTGGCTTTGCCACAAATACGATGTCAACTACATGATCATGCTAGCAATATGAAAATGATGGAGCGTGTCATAATGAACGGAACGGTGCAAAGTTGTATGGCAATATATCTTGGAATGGCTATGGAAATGCCATGATAGGTAGGTATGGTGGCTGTTTTGAGGAAGGTATTTGGTGAGTGTATGATATCAGCGAAAAGTGCACGGTATTAGAGAGGCTAGCAATGGTGGAAGGAAGGAAAGTGTGTATAATCTATGAACTCAACATTAGTCATAAAGAACTCATATACTTATTGCAAAAATCTAGAAGTTATCAAAGCAAAGTATTACGCGCATACTCCTAGGGGCATAGATTGGTAGGAAAAGACCATCGCTCGTCCCCGACCGCCACTCATAAGGAAGACAATCAATAAATAAATCATGCTCCGACTTCATCACATAACGGTTCACCATACGTGCATGCTACGGGAATCACAAACTTTAACACAAGAATTTCTCAAATTCACAACTACTCAACTAGCATGACTCTAATATCACCATCCTCATAACTCAAAACAATTATCAAGCATCAATTTCT